CCAGCCACGCGGGCATGCGAAATCGTCTGACACGCAAGCAGAAAGCAAGGAAAGCAGACCGCACAGAAAGCCGAAGGCCCGGTTTGATGCCAAAGCCTGTGAAAGTGCAAGGCAAGGTCACCTCCCTATTGTTGGGTGGCCGTCGCAACCCAGCTATGGTGGGGTGTGGCTGAGAAAGTGAGCCGCACGGCAGGCAGGGAATTCTCCTGGCGATGGCCTGCGCAAAAGCAAAACCGGAGAAGCAACTGCTGGGAAGAAAAGGGCCGCTGGCCGTCTTCGCCTTCACCGACCCAGGGCATCCAACCCAACTCGTAAACCTAAGTACGCAGACCTTAAAGCCGTGTAATGAATAAGATAGAACGAAAAGCTAACCGTACTGATCGCCGCATGTCCGCCAACCCGAGGGACGCCGAGGCAGGCAAAATCGACCGATTGGGTGCCCGTGGAAGTGTTAACGAAAATGTCGACAACAGAAGCAAACGGTAAGCGGCCTTAGAAGACCACACAGGAAGCCAGCGACGGGGTTTGACGTCTGTACCGGTAAGCCAGAAAGGCAAGTGCAGCCCTTTAGTTTGGGGAACCGGTGAAAGTCGCCGCCGGTTTAAGGGGTGTGGGATGGTGACATGGTGTGCGCTGCAGCAGACCGAGAAGCAAGTGGAAGTAGAAGGTCCACCGACAGGCAGACCTGCGCCTAGCCAATGCACACGGAAGCCGCACAAAACGCGATGTGGGAGGTCCCACAGGAAGCCGGGAACGGCATCTGCAATAGAGGTCATTTTGCTTGGTCTTTAGCTGGGTAGGCAAAGGGCGTGGTGGAATCCCACTGCAACCAGCTGAAGGCAAAGTCAAGTAAGCATAGCTGGAGTACCCAGCCATGGTAATGTGGCAAGCCCGCTAAGCGGCTGATGAGCGAAAATGTGAACATGAGCAATAACATGAAGCACTTTGCAGCATAACCACCCTTCCTTCGTCAAAGTGTAAGCTGCAAGTATATGCAGGAGGTATGCCAATGGTAACACAAGAGCAGACAAGGTTTCCCAAGGCAAGGTCGAATGCATTGCACCCCCGCCTGACCGATACGGTGGAACTTACTTACCTACAATAAGCATGTCTACTGATAAGAAGCAAGTACGTCAATAACGTCGACTCATAATCTCAGGCTACGAACACTCGTCCCGCCGAGAAGAATGCCAAATAGGTGTTTTGGCAGATTTTGAATGATTCATATTGACCCAGGTATGAAAAACAGCGCCTTGGTGGGATTCGAACCCACGACAGTAATGGAAAGGCTTTAGTGCAGTCAACGCTTGTATCTCAGGTGGTTAGAGCGTTAGCTGGGCTAAAACCTTCCCTTTGCTGTTATCCGTTTGAATCCCACCGAGGCGCTGAGTTTTCCCCAATCGGGTCAATATTACATTCCAAGTAGGTCAAAACTGACCTGGACAGTTCATGTTGTAGTACGCCATCGCATGTGAAAGAAGCAGTGACATTGCAGTTGGAAGGTAAGATAGATAGATTAAAAATCTCGTTGCTACGAACTTCGAGTGAGGAAAAATAAATTTAAACTGTTCGAGACTTAAAAGTGGGCGGTCAAAATTACCTGCGAATGAAGACGAGTTTCTGTTTCCTTACACGAAAGTGCCCACATATTTTAGTAGTTGGGCTGGCTAAACATTTTTGGTGCAGTAAGGAATGCCGAGAAAGACAAGGGAGACTGGGGTGGTTGCTTCTGGTTTATTAGTCATCGCCAGCAAGTCCTATCTACTCCTAACCTTGAATAATCTGGGATTTGAACCCTGATTCTTTGATCGGTGGACGTCTTTATATATTTGTGCTCTTAACTTCGTGTAAAGTTAATGGGATTTATTCTCCAGTCACTGAAGACAAGGTCATGAAAGGAACTTGAAATATCTTAGGTTTGTTTGATATACTGTACATAGCAGGCGATGAATTCGTCTCCCCTTTGCTATCATAGTTTGGCCGACTTCGGCATGGTAGGTGCTGGCCTGTTCATGATCCCTATCACCTATACGAAGCTTGTTTGCTTCGGGAAGCTAATGAGTCGGTGTGCGCCCATTCCTGGGTGAATATATATGTATATAAATCAATGGCAGATTATGCTCCGGTGAGAGTGAAGCAGAGGGTTGGTATAATTATCAAACGAAATACTGCCTGCTACGTGGGTGAATTAATCTTAGATTCCACTTCCTACTGCGTAGCAATGAAAGGCCACTTAAGCGACTCATTTCATATGTGCTCACGGCCGCTGATTTTCATTAAGTTGATGTGCTACGAGATGTCCTACGGAGGCGCGCTCGCTATTTTGAAACGGCTATCAGGTTACGCTGTATCTCAGTGATCACACCCTTCAAACCTGATGTGAAAGTGCGTTGCGCCATTTCCTATCGTTTTCATCCCTGAAAATGAACGCGAGTTCATTTCCGGACACATACACGCCCTAAAAGCCCGCAAAATTGAAATAAAGCAAGATTGCAGAAAAGTATCATCGAAATATTTAAAGAGGAACGAAATCCAGATTAGGGGCATCAATTCAGAGACATTTAAAATGAGACACGAAAACTCTTTTGATTTGGAGCAGGCAGGAGAATCAAATAAGGTCAAGCTAAAATCGATGGAGTTCCGTTTCGGCTTCCGAACTGGCTTCTGAGGTGGGAGACACCTGGTTCTGTTGCGTCGAAAAGTCCCGGTGGATTCTGCAAAGTTGGCAGGGACAGCAGAAAGTGGAGGCGGCGCAGTCTTTCCAGATTGTGCCCTATACAGGGAAAGACAGTTAGACATTTGAAACTGATTGATGATGATGATGATGATGATGATGATGATGATGATGATGATGATGATGATGATGATGATGATGATGATGATGATGATGATGATGATGATGATGATGATGATGATGATGATGATGATTGTGGCGTTGACGGTGTTGGTAAGGGCAATATTAGCAGAAGAAGAAGTAGTAGTAGTGGCGGTCGTGGCGGCGGCGGAGGCGGCGGTGGTGGTGGTGGTGGTGGTGGTGGTGGTGGTGGTGGTGGTGGTGGTGGTGGTGGATCGTTGGACTTCAAACCAACTAAACACGCAGGGGATTAAGGTTAGCGATAAGATCAAGATTAGGGTTAGTTTCCGATTAAGGACACGACAATGCCTTCCCTTTCTGGAAGTTGGCGCACTTCCATTTGTATTACGCGGAGCATTCCTATTCGCATGTCCTGTGGGATGTTCTACAAGCAGTACAGACTGTCGAAATTTCTAGCTGTGAATCAAAGGTTTTCCTCTAGTACCTTGTTGAAGTGTCTTCGACAGAAAATTGTTTGGTAAGCAGTCTTTCGCAGCAGAACGATTAACTGACCTCCCAACCAGGTGCTACGACTGTGTTTTTTTGCTCTAACTAATCGTTCCCTGTTTTTCGTTGTGCACTTTTGTCTGGTGGAATGTAAACGCCGTGAGTGCGGTTGACGAACTGCTCTACGCAATGTTATCGCACATGTTGATATCCAGTCGACGTCCAGTTGATCCCAGTATGCTTTTTGATGGAGATGGTGTCAAACGGAAACGTCGCAGGGAAAAGCCTTGCTTTTCGTCAAAGTTCAGTGCAAGCAGTACCATTAGTGCAGCCCGATCTGTCTCCGAGAAGAACCTTTTAAAACAGATGGGAAACATCCACTAACTGGGCAGTCATCCTGTGCCATCCAAATACAAACGGACACGCAGGATGCCGGGCTTACCAGCTCCCTCCTGGTTAGAAGTTGTCCTTTTTCTCAGTTTACAACCCCAACATCGCATTTTTTTGCACGGAGTCATCTTTTAAATGTAGCGTGATCATTTACATGTGCTCGCTTGAATGTAACATTTCCTCTTGACTGCATTTGACAAAACGCAATTCGAGGCAACTTGAATCATGTGGCGCCGAAGTTGCTTCATTATTAACCCATGCGTTACTTTGGTGGAGAAAGTATGAACGAATTGCACGGTGTGGCTTCCAACAAGAGGCGCGTTCAACGAAGCATTTGTCATCACAAAATGTCTCGCGGTGGAAACGTTTTCTCCGACTAAAATAACCACAAACAGTCGTAATTATGCTGAAGCCTTTATGAAAATTTCCTTTTTTGGGTTCCTTTATGGGACGTTATGCCCTTTTGAAGATCATTACTTGGAGGTATGATATGTTCTGGTCTTCTCTCATTCCGGTCGCATTCCGTCCTATAATCAGGACAAGTTGACGGATGGTAATCTCAAGTGATTTTTACTCTTTCCGATCTAGTCCGGTAGGATTTATGCCAGCGGTCCAAAACAATGACTAACTGAGCCCGCGTTTAAATCTTGAGTCCGCCCGTATTGGTGTCGGGATACGGCTGACAGCCGAAAACCGGGCATCTAATTCACTGGTGTCATGCTCAATACCACTCATCGATTGTTTATTGGTCGTCGCTTCTGAACGCCTATCGAGCTCCTTGACAGAGCTGCAGTGAATAGTAGTCAGTTTGTCCCTCAATAAGAAGAAGCCAGTAAACTTTCCATATTAGTGACCAACTACTTGAACAACGGCCCCAGTACTTAGGTCTTCTGGAACATTCGCAAATGTGTTCGAGTTCATTTTCTGTTTTTTAATGCTTTTATTACGGCATACGGGCCATTTATACCCCCAAAAAGTAGAAACTTCGAAGGCCGACCAAAACGTCTCTGAAGCACGATTTATAGAATAATAAACATTCCTTTTTCAAAATAAGCCTACGGGGATCCGTGGTTTTCTCCAAATTGACACCTGGAAAAGAACCTTTCTAGCAATCAAGGTGAGAATCAGTGTCGACAGTTATTTTTAATTAACGCTGTTTCTAGGGTTGTCTTGTCCCAAGGAAGAGTAACACAGGCTTCTTGAATTATTCTTCATTAGGAAACCTTTTTTACTGCCGAAGATGTTGATTGACACTCATTTTTCCGCCGCATTTCCTTCGTTCGAGACTATACATTTCAACGCAAGAGTGGGGTTATTTGCGTAACTTTTCTGAAAAGGAGATCACTCCTCGTTGACAGTTTTGCTGAGAGTAAATTCTGATACCTATTCGCCATTCTTGCACGTTCTGATGCTCGCGGACGAGATGCATTTGGGCATCCCTTTCTGCCATCGGCTGAATCCATTAGGACATCAGAAAAGATCGATACTCAAAGTTTTCTATTGAAATGGCAGTAGTGATCTCGCCAAAAGGCCGTGTGAATTGGAAGCCGGTGAATAAGAGGGTAGGATTATTGCAGCACGCGTGGTATTTGTCTGAACTCTCGGATACAAACTCATGCCTGCCATCGAGAAAATTATCTGTCTAGAATGACATGGCCGCAAGATCACTTGCCTGACGGCTTCCCGACCTCCTCTGCGTCACCGTACTTTAAGTAAGCTTCATAGTCTGATCCCTTGCTCAATACCATTTTGACCATTCGTCTATCGTTCCTGGGTAGGTGTGCTTCCAGCCCTCAGGGAGCCAGTTTTAAAAAGAGCGCCGGGCGGATCGTTCACCGATCTGATGACAGTGTGAAACATGCTCATTCCGTTGTGTTATGGAGCTATTTGACTGCTTTCGAGGGTCCATGTCAAAACGACGCAAACAGACTCCGTCTCCTGGTTGGCGAATGCCCCCAACCCACTGTAGTGAATATTCACGATGACCGCCGAAAAACCGCCGTTCCGTTGTTTGATGGTGGAGTCGGGGACTTAAAGCTTATTGATCTAAGAGCCCGAGCTCGAATCTCGGATTAGCAAAACCTGGGTTAGGTGACGTGGCTGGCTAAAGACGCATAAGTAGCCAGAAATGGCCATCGTAGTCGACCTTATTTGCTCGAATTTAGCATATCATTGCGCTGTCAAAAGAAGTGTCGTACACCTTTCCGGTCTTGCTTCAAAAAACTGCGTTTTCCACAATACCGCACAACTTAATTCAGCATTCGCACAAACGAGGTACTTCCTCCCTTCCCATGCTCTCTTCAGACCAAGAAAAAATAATAATGATGACAATAATAATTGAGCATAGGAACCGTTTGTTCGTCGCCACATATGACAGCAGCAACGGCTGCATCTGCCTCTATTGACCCCACTACCTGCTACTCATTCTGTTTCTGCTGTTGTCGCCTGTGGCGACTGAATTCAGCACGCGCTTAAAAGCTCAGAAAAATAAACCAAGGGTTCCGGTTTCCAAGCAGTCTCCTCTTTACCTACTCCCATATGGCAGATCAACTGTCTTTGCCGACAGGACCCACTGTGTGCCCGGCAACTTGTCAAGCGCAGGGACGGTGACATGTGTGTGCGTCAGGTTATGATGGTAGACTTGCGCTGTATCTACTGCACTCTTTCCTCCCTCACCCTCCTGGGCGTGGGCAAAATGGCAGAGGAAGGAAAACTGGAAGCGTGACCGACAAAGCAAAACAATCCGACTAGGCGTGCCACACAACACATGAACCCCAGCATAACGTCCCAAGTTTCCACACAACGGCTCAGATCTCACATACAATAGGTGGTCTAACTCATGAAATGTCAACCGAAATTCCGAAATGCGTTTTGATTCGAAAAGATTAATTATGTAGGGTTGTAAATCTAGTCAGCCTGCAACACAATTCTGTAATATTTCAGTTACCTTAGGATGCCGGCTCTTGAACAAACTTCTTTTCGGCTGCATACAGGAACTACACTCTGCAAAAAATGACTACTTAAATAGCATGCATTTTTCTCATTGATTTTAGATATCCTCAAAGACTCAGTTATATTTCAAGGAAAACATGCATAAAAATATTCATTCTTCTACTCATTCGGTAGAAAATTACATTGTCTCCCAATTTTATGTCTGAAGGAAGGGTTTAATTCGGTTTTTAAAAACTCTTCCAGTTTCCGAATAGTGTTGAACCCGACCTGCCGTCACGGTTGTGTTTGGGGTTTCCAAACTGCAAACCCATATTTTCCGCGTACGGAAAAGCGTAAATTTCTCTACAGTATTCAGATGAGGTCATATGGAGTGTCATGGAATTGAGCAGTGGATTTGTTAACTTTGAAAGCAACACTAGTAAATGCAGAGACATGACGTTTTATGAACGGCCATTTCACGTTATTAAAAAATTTCACAATTAGAAACTATTTAACACCAAATTTTACACTTCCCTCGAGCATAAAATTGAAAAAAGACGTGATTTCCTACCGAATGAGTAGAAGAAAGAATATTTTTATACACGTTTTTTTGTGAAATATAATTGAATATTTGAGGATATCTAAAATCAATGAGACAAATACATGCTATTTAAGTAGCCATTTTTACAGAGTGCAGCTCCTGCAAGCAGCCGAAAAGACGACATCCTGTGGAAACTGAATTATTATAGAATTGTGTTGTATATTGATTGGTTTTAAAACCCTACTTAATTAATCTTTTCGAAACGTAAACGCATTTCAGAATTTTGGTTGACATTTCATGAGTTAGCCCACTTACTGTATGTGAGAGTGCAGTAGAGGCCACCATGAGAAGGAGTCATTAAGCCTGACTATCGGTCCACTAGTCGGCCACTCCACTCAAACAGAGTCCACTGCGAGGTCTGATTTGCATCGTCGGCTGGCAACCTTTTAAGCCATGCTTTATGGTCCATCGTGATAGATTCAAGCGCACCCGGCTGTTTATGGCAATAAATATGCCCTATCTGGCGTGGGAACACAGTCTCCAGAGTCGGTCTCATTCTCTCTTTCCCATCCCATGCATTAATTTATTGCCCGATCCGGTCAGGTTTGTGATACGAGGATTGGGCGCACGTGGCTGGTAGCGTTTAAAAAGCGTCTAAGCGGACCACACACGACCAGGCAACTCACGCAACACATCCGATTTTCACATACAGTGCGTGATCGATCTCATGAAATGTTGGCCGAAATTTTGAAATGCATTTTCAATTATGAGGGATTACTTAGGTGGATTTGTAATACTGACAATCTTGCGGCATAATCCTATAACATTTCAGGCTCGGAAGGATGTTGACCTTTGTATGCACTTCTTTCTGACCTCCTGTAGAAACCGTACTCTGCAATGAGTGACTACTTAAGTAGTATACATTTTTCGCATTGATGTTTGATGATATTATAAATTCAAATATATTTCGTTGAAAACATAGACAAAAATGCTTTATTTTATTCATTTGATAAAGAATCATGTCGTCTACTTATTGTATACTTGAAGATGGAGTATAATTAAGTTTTCAAAAAGTTTCTAATTTTGAGATTTTTAGAACCGTTCAATTTCCATTTACGCGGCATCGTACCTGTCCGTTTACCACTGCTCCTCATGAAATTTACAACATAGCCCTCATCCATTGCACACTTTTATGGACTCTATATGATGCCTTTTTAAAGACATAGAAGAATGTATGATTTTCCGTTCACGGAAGGCATGCACATGGTAGATTGAAATCACAAAGCGCTAACGCAACAGTTGATCAGGTCTCCATTGTTCAGGAATTAGAAAACCCTTTCAAAACCAAAGTATACTCCTTCTTCAGGTATGCAATATAATGATGACGTGATTCTCTATCAAAAAAGTAAAATAAAGAATTTTTGTCGATGTTTTCTACGAAATATATTTGAATTTATAATACCATCGAAAATCAACCTGAAAAAAATGCATGCGACTTAAGTAGTCATTTTTTGCCGAGTACGCTTTCTACGGGAGGTCGAAAAGGCATTCATTCAAAAGTCACCATCTTGCCGAGTCTGAAATATTAGAGGATTCTGCAGCATGATAATCAGTATTACAAATCCACCCTACTAATCCCTCCTAATCGGAAACGCATTTCAGAATTTCGGAGAGCATTTCATGAGATCGGTCACGTACTGCAATTGGGACGGTCAGCAGAGGAGTGGGCCGCATGGGGAAGGAGTTAAAGATCACGATCCTCACTTACGTGAGAGGTGCCGCCTCCTTACTTAGGGTGAGTGACGGGGGACGGGTTCTTGTGCTGGGGTTTGTTCTGCTGTGTTTCGGCGTGGTATAAGATGCAGGTGAATATGGCCAAGCAGGTCCATGCTGTGACGGGATTTTGCTGTCAGCCGAGGCTGATATGGCGGGTGTATGCTGTTGTCTTTGACATTGGCCCACCGTTCTCTGTGCGGCTTTGCGAACATCCCGCTTCAATGGTAGGCGGCGCTCACCGATCTTTCTTACGGAGCTCACTCGTTCCGTTGTGCCTTACGGACTGTCTCTCTCTCGAGCCCAACCAGCAGCCGCACAGCGGCGCATGTTATAGGCAGAATGTCATTACCGACAAAGAAAAGGGAGACTTCAATGGCAATTTCTGGCTTATTAGCCGTCGTCAGCCAGTCATACCCAACCCCGGAGTGTGGAACACCCGAGGCTCGAACTCGCGACCTGTTAGTTACAGGTCCACGCCTCTAACCACTGGACCACGAGCCCGATGTCCTGTCGGTTTCGATCGGCAATATACAATGGTAGGGGACGCTCACCGATCGCTCTTACGGACCTCACAGGACAATGGGCTCGTCGCCCAGTGGTTAGTGGTAGAGACTTTTAACTAGCAGGTCGCGAGCTCGAACCTCAGGTGTTCCACACTTCGAGGTTGGAACGGCTAGTAGGCCAGAAATGGCCATTGCAGTCTTCCTTGTCTTTGTAGGTAATAACATACTGCCTATATCCCGCTTCGCTCTCTCAAGACTGGTAAAAGGAATTCAAGACGGAGGGGAAGTGGGCGCGTAAATGCGTTACTCACTCGGATGTTCTGTTTGGCCCGGTACTGCACTGTCAGAGGCAGAAGACTCAGGAGGAAGCAGAGAGGTGTACCGCAGCACTCCCCATGACGTTGGTACTCTGCGCAGACCATACAACAAGGAAATAGCGTTGTCAGGACGCCTACAATTGAACAGAGGAGGGAACGGGAACTAAGACGGAGGAACTACAACAGAAAGGGGGAAGCTCCTGAGTTACAAAATCCCTATCTTTCTTTTAATTGCTGAGACAAATTTCCTGCCAATGATATCTCAACCTGGCCTCTCACGTCTCCGCCGCCAGATGTGTTGCGGCATTCACATGTTTTCCCAGTATTTGGGGTCTCCAGTGCAGGGGTTACATTGTTGCAGCAGAGCTAATAGAGCCTGGCCGGCAATCAAACAACTCGCATGGACCCGGGAATGCAGATGAAGTAGAGGACGAAAGGACTGGGGTTCCAGTTGGGGACAGAATGCGGGCAATCAGACTTCGAACGCACCACCCACTGTGTCCCCACACTGAGGGTCCAAATGTCGCAAGCCGGCCTGACGCTCCCGTTGTGAACTGTGACTAAGCAGATTCTAGTAATTGAGTGTTGTGAGTTCTCCTTCACGCAACCGTTTCCGTGCAGTTACTGCTCTCAGTATATATTGCCGCTGGTGTAGGGAATTCCGTAGGAGCTCATAAAAAGAGATGTGAAACCTGAATGCGCATTGGCAAGGAGGGCACTGGAGGGGTTTCACGCCGGTAACGTTGTTTTCCGGGCGCTGCGTGCTTCACCTTGGTCTTCGATTGCCAGTTGTCTTCGAAACCTGCCGCACCATTTTTCATGCCTGCCGTTAGGGCGGACTGGAGAAGCCCGCCGTCACATGACCTTGAGGCCCGCTGACCTCAACCAATCGGACGTAGACCCTTAAGTGAAGCGGAGAGTGTTTCACTCAAAAACTGTAAATGACCGGCTGACTCCGATGCGAAACTCACGTGTCACTTGGGGCTTGGGTTTGTATATTTCCGGGAGGAATAGTCACTGCATTTGCCTCAGCTTTCAAAGCCCCGCAGGACTACACCTTTCGAGAAAATCTGTCCAAAATGCTTATCTTTTAATCATTAAATAGTTTCGTTACTCAGATGTGCCAAATTTCCAATGCGCGTCTCTTCGGCAGCTTTCGAAAATCGTACCAGCGAAGACGGTTACTTACATTGAGCACCTTTTTTATTGAATGGACATCTTGCCTGTCCGTTTAGTTGTGCAGCCTTTGATGAGTACAACGTAGTCCATACCCATAAACACCTGTGAACCTTGCATGGTACGTTTGTCATAATATCGAGGAACCATAATTTTTCAAAATGGAAAGTGTACAGCCTATGGTTTGCAAACCTTAAACGTTAGCACAGCAGCAGGTCGAGGTCAAAATTATTAGAATTTAAAAAAAAACATTTTGAGCACCAAAAATTGCAGGTTTCCTGGGAAACTGTTTGAAGAAGGCGTAATTAGCTGTAAAATCAATAAAAGGGTGGATTTTTTCGCGTTCTTTCCTATATATTTAATGGCATACAAATTCAATAAGAAAAATCAATAATACTTTAGCAGTACATTCTTGGCTCATGATTTTTGCAGGCCTACCTCATGGTATGCCGGAAATATCTTTGGATTGGGCTGCACGATAAGCCTTATAACGACACCGCCTAGAAAACGCCATCCGACCATTAAACACTTCATCAGCTGTACGACATCGTACATTTGGGGTCGTCCCGAGTCTGTCCTTGTCTTATCTGTACTTTAAAACTATAAAAGTAACAGTTGAAATTCGCCGGCATATTTAAGAATTATAATGGATTTTTATGAGCTTTTGCGGAAGATTTCTGCCCTACAGAGCTAGAGGGAATATTGGCGATGATGGGAACAAAAACAGCTAAAGGATCGATGAGCATGACGGTCAACCTGTGTCCTCGATACAGATTTATTGTTTCAAAAGCACCTGCTTCATCTTACGCACCCCTGAATCGACAAACTTCTTCTCATGGTAAGCACTGACTCCTTGAATTCGCTGGAGTGTTGTGAGTTCTCCTTCACGCAACCGTTTCCGTGCAGTTACTGCTCTCAGTATATATTGCCGCTGGTGTAGTGAATCCCGTAGGAGCCCATAAAAAGAGGTGTGAAACCTGAATGCGCATTGGCAAGGAGGGCACTGGAGGGGTTATCCGCCGGTGGCGTTGTTTTTCGGTCGCTGGGTGCTTCAACTCGGTCTTCGATTACCAGTTGTCTTCGAAACCTGTCGCACCATTTTTCATGCTTACCCATGCTATGTGGGAGTGTCCCGGGCGTCCTGGCTTCCCCTGAGACATTTACGTAAATTTTAGTGCGTGACCGATCTCATGACATGTTGGCCGAAATTCTGAACTGCGTTTTCGACTAGAAATGATTAATAACGTGGCATTGTAATATTAATTATCATGTAGCATAATCTTATAATATTTCCGACTCTCCAGGATGTCAGCTTTTGAGTGCATTTCTTTCTGACCTTCCGCAGAAACCCTACTTAGTAAAAAAAAATGACTACTTATGCAGCATGCAATTTTCACATTAATTTTCGATGGTTTTGTAAATTCAAATACATGTTTTAGAAATCATGCACAAAAATATGCTTTCTGTTGCCTGTTCGGTAGAAACCCATGTTGTCTTGATATTTTATACTTTAAGGATGCTTGTCCTTCTGCTTTAACAATGTTTCTGATTAGGCGGTTTCTAAGGCTGTGCGATGTCCATGTATACGGCATCACAGGTGTCTGTTTACCAAAATTCCGCGTGAAATGTACAACACAGCCCGTATTCATTACAAAATTTTATGAACTCTACAGAGTACTTTCTTAAAGGCACAGAGGAACATACGATTTTCCCTACGCTGAAAATATGCAGCTGGTGCACTGAAGTCGCGAAACACTGATGCAACGGCTGATCACATCCAAAATTATTCGGAAATTATGAAACTTATTAAAAACCTTAATATGCACTTTTTCGGATATAAACTGTGAAGACAATGTGATTTCCTATCAAACAAGTTAAAGAAAGTATAGCTTTGCACATGCTTCCTAGAACATGTGTTTGAATTTGCAAAACCATCGACAGCTAGTGTGAAAATTGCATGTTGCATAAGTAGTCATTTTTTTACCAAGTAGGGTTTCTGCGGAAAGTCAGAAAGAAATGCATTCAAAAGCCGACATTAATAAGAAGACTCAATAATACTCTAGCAGTAACTTCTTAGCTCATGATTTTAGCAGGCAGCCAGGAAGGCTTTTTCCAATGGCCCACCTCTTTGAATGTCGGAAATATCTTTGGAGTGGGCTGCACGATAATCCTTATAAACGACAACGCCTAGAAAATCCTTTCCGACCGTCAAACGTTTCATGGGATGCGTTATCGACTGTGCAACATCGTACATTTGGGGTCGTCCCGAGTCTGTCTTCGTCTTATCTGTACTTCAAAACTATAAAAGTGACAGTTGAAATTCGCCGGAATATTTGAGAATTATAATGGATTTTTATGAGTTTTTGCGGAAGATCTCTGAACTACAGGGCTGGAGGGAATACTGGAGATCATGCGAGAAAAAACGGCGGAAGGATTGATGAGCATGACGGTCAACCAGTGCCTTCGATATGGATTTATTGCTTCACAAGCACCTCCTTCATTCTACGCATCCCTGTATTGACTAATTTCTTCTCATGGTAAACACTGACTTTTTGAATTCGCTGGAGGTGCACACTTTGCTCGAAAGTTGGGCCTTATCAATAAAGAGTCCGCCACGGTTTCAAACTGTCTCACCAAAAGGCTATCTGAGGACTTTGTTCAAAACATCCACCATACACTCGAGGGAAGGCATTCGTTTCGTATAAGCATGTAAAGTGTTCTTTCGACTAATTAAGCACCCCATTCCCCTCTGACGGTTGGTCTTACTCATGGTGAACACCGTTTTTGAAGCATCTGCTATTGTCGATAATCGTCAACGTGACGAACTTAACCCTCTGACTAGTTAGCCTGTAAATTTTATTTGGTACTCTGCGCGTGGACTGAATTTCCGGTCGCAGAAATCGGGGCTTCGTTTCCTACCTGAAATGTTGTATACCGTGGGAGTACTTCACAAGATGCTCCATAACCTGCGCGGAAAATTAGCCGTTCTTGGCCTGTCAGAACCCGACTACATTTCAGGGAATGGCAGTTGGCTTAAACTCCAACACTGCCTGTGAATTACGGATTGGATTACAGCAGTTGGTCTACCTCATGAAATATTTACCGAAATTCTGAAATTTTGTTTCGGACTAGAAGGGACTACTTAGATGGGGTTGTAACTATTATCGTGAGGCATAATCCCAAGATGTTACGGTCATGACAAAATGAAGGCTTCTGGATAAATTTATCTCCAACCGTCTACGAAAAACAAGACCGGGCAAAAATTGAGTACTTAAATTGTACGAATTTTTCCCGATGATTTTGGAAACCCTAATTAATTCAAATAATCTTTTTGCACTCATTTAGTGCCAAATTTTATCTTCGTAAAATTCTGTATTGGAATAAATTGTAACTTCTAGGTTTTGAAAAAGGCTTCCGACTATGGGACTTTTATGAATGTCAAATGCCCATCCACATAACATCGTCTCTGTTCATATCGATGCTGTTTTTGAAGAATGTAACGTGTTGTCTATCAAGTGTAAAATCTCATGAGCATGGATAAGTGTGTGATTTACCTTAGGTGGCAAGTATGCAAGACATTTTTTGCAACTCTAAACAAAAGTGCAACTGTAGGTCGGGTTCCAAATTATTCACGAATTGAAAATGTGATCTAAAACTTTTAAATACCTTCTCCTTATGTAAAAAATTGGCAAAGACATAGTTTTCTATAAATTGAGTACATAGAAGAATATCGTTAAGCATTTTTTATGAAATATATTTGAGTTTTTAAGAACATCGAAAACAGATGGTAAAATTTAAACTGTTTGGGTAGTCATTCTTATATCGAGTGCAGTTGTGGCAGGCGGCGGGGAAGAAGCTCATGCAAAAACATCCATTTTTGCATGAACGAAATATCTTGGGAATATATTTCATAATAATCAGTATTTACAATCCCATCTAAGTAGTCATTTCCAGTCCAAAACACATTTCAGATTTCCTGTGAATACTTCACGAGGTAGACGTACCAAAACTCGCATAGGATAGGGGAGGCAAGTCACGATAGGTGATGACCGGAATCCGTATGATCTGTTCGGACACCTTGCCTACGCGTTTGTCGGACAGAATATAGTTCCTAGATACTTTATAAACGATAAATTTTACACTTTTGAGCAAAACTCAACCTTAACTTGTGTTCAGTTAATCTCCTAGGTTAATAATTGATCACGACTATAGCTGCATATTTGTGTATCTCTAGTAGAGGACATTAATCTCCTCAGGTGGATGCTTTCAAGAACTGAATCATTTTTGGAGATTTTGTTAAATACAAACTACACCACCCATCATTTGGGTCGTTGGCTGAGAACACTGAAAACCGCAGAGTATTCACTCAGCGAACTCCGTCGCCCTCAGAACACACACGCACACGCTTGTGATTGCGTCTGCTGAGAATGCTCCAATTTCTCATTCACTGACTGGCCTCCCGATATGTGATGTTACGGAAACTCTTATTCTTGCGGAGTCTTTAAGAGATACATCAGATGAAGGCTCTCCCTCAGCACAGTTATCTGGAGATCCGCTGAAGTTAATTTGCACCGAATGATATCACAAATGTTCTTGTCATATAATAAAATTTACCGCAGTTTTAAAGCAGTGTTAGCCTGGGTAGTTAGTTGAATCGTGAGGTGTAGAAAACAGACAGTCTGGAACTCACTAAATGTGTAGGTGCGTTATAGAAGTTTCGAAAAAAAAACTAACTACCAAATGACTTTGTTGGGTAATCCACTGGGGCTATTGGAAACTGCAACGTGTTTGGAAGGCGGCTTAGGTACTAGGTCACTTTACGAGAGTAAAATCCTTATGAATACAGGATAAGTATTTGCTAAATTTACTCCACTTTCTTATTCACCGACCAATCTGTTGACATGTTACCTAACGAAAATCAAACAAGTCACTTCCGAAAGTTTGAATTCAGCTAAAATAATTCAAGACTTGTGACGTCTACTCAAGTTCCTATTCTTTACAGTCAATGACATCTGTTAAATGATGAAACGGAAAGATCACATCGATTTCCCGTGACATCGTTTTGAAGCAACAGGCAGTGAGCTAGATGTCATACTACAAAGTACTGTAATTATTGGAAGATATTTGCACTGAAAATGATCACGAAATGTTTTAAACCGTCGTTTTGCGCATACCGTTTTATTTACTCCGTCGGTTACATTGGCAGGTCTTATGTGTCACTACAAGTTATGTTCACTCATCTGACACGAGTATTCGAGCTTCCGCATTTTTGATTTTCACCAGCAAAGTGCTTTTACTGAGCAATGTAATACTACTTTCGCCTAAGTAAATGCCGTGCACTATTAATTGAGGGTTTCGGGAAATTATCAGTAAATAAACGTATAGCAAAAACGATCGCGCTCAAAAGGCTATGGGTTACTGACTCGGCGGTCGAGTCTTGGACCACGATTCCACTCAGATGCCGCTCAAAATCAACCGCGGAATAGGACATGGGAATGGCTACTGATGGCGACAGTTGATCCAGAGCTATCAGTGACCAACAAACTGACTGAGGGTGTAGTTGACTGAAAAGTTGCCTAGGTTTTTTCTTACCCTTGTGCGCTGGCTTGGACAATGGGAGAGATTGGGCTAAAGTGGGCAGAACTGGGCCTTGTCCTTTATAAGTTTTGCTGAAGTACCTCCAAATAACATCCACTAATGAAAGCGTTTTGAGTCTGTATCCAGGCGGCAAAAATATTTATGCAGGGAGGACTACCTGAGAGGATGAAGAAAAAGGAATCGAGCGTTTCTAGCTTACTATACGTCATCAGACAGCCATATGCAGTCCCAGATTTGTTTGTAATAACCCTTGTTCCGAGCATGTCCAACAAACTGGTTAGTGGATGCACTTCAATCACAGAAACAGTCATTTCTCACTTCACCTCATTTGCATGTTCACAAGAAAACATTCACGAGCTGTAAAGGAGGTACAACTTACGTAACTGTTTCTTATTATTACCTATGTATTTAATGCATTGATTACTGTTTCCTATGACTCTCGACGAGGACGACTTTTGTCACTGGGTGGGAAGCTGCTGTCCAGACTTACTAGTCTGAATGCCGTGCGCCGCTCTATGGATAATCGGGTTCTCCCTCGACCAACTGAAAACTCCCGATAACGCCTACAATTTCTTGTCGCAAATTCACTCGCCTAGGTAATTCACAGATATTCTCAGAGCCCGATTTGGGACAGAAAAGCCCAGTAATGTCCCCTCTGTGTTTTATATTAAAATTCCACCGCACTTATTTGATGACCCTTCTGACTTACTAAATCGAGCGATGAAACGCACGTAGACTGATAATAGTTCAAGACCGGAGGACCCTCTGACTTACAGTGTTTCGGATCCTTTCCGCAGTCACACAAGGAATCGTGCCAGTCACGTTCAGATGTGACTACGCCAGTCCCGAGTGACACGGCTCCGCTGGCTTTGCATTCCTCAGACTCCGCCACATCCGTCTTTCGACTATCAACCGTTGCCACCGGCGGTTCGGGTTCCTGGGTGATCACCACGACATCAGGGGCGGCAGTGTCCGCGGCATTCGACGGTGCCGACGACACCGAAGCAGTCTCATCCGACTTTATGAGTACCTCCACAGTGTTGGCTATCGGTGGGTCCGCGCCATGGGTGCACTTATTGACGTTAGTGGACAAAGGGGGCAGGCGGTAAGACTTTTTCGTCATGGGAACTGCGCCGTGTACAGGATGCACTGCTGGTCCCCGTTTAATGCACTTCGCTTTGTATATATATATACATGTACATACGTCTGCGTGGCTAGGTAGCTACATGCTTCCATGCACACAGGCACACCTTGTCCTTCAGCGCAGGACGAGGGTGTGCGCTGACGAAGATACACGGTATCCGATACTTCAAGTGCCACAGAGAGAGAGAAAAAAAAGAGTAGGCTCGGTGGTTGCCATCACGATGTCCACAAACAGAATGGCACAAAACGCACGCACAAGCGCCACAGCCCCTGTCCACATTGTCCCGATTACAGAACAGCAAGTTTGCATCCCGCGCTCTCAGCAGGAGCCAAGTTCGTGAGTGCGTGTGGATTTGGCACTCGGTGCTCAAAAACGCTAACTGCGTCAAAAGGCAGCACAAAAGATGGTGACGTAATTTCCTGTTTAAACGATCAGGTTAGGTCCCAGTAGCCTAAACGGAATGGTTTAGGAACCGAGCAGATCCCTGAACACTAAAAGGCATGTTGCTACTTGTAATTCAAAATTACGTGGATCTACCAAACACCAAAAGTGCTAGGCGCTCATTGTTGTTACTACCAGCAGTGTGCTATTTCTAAGAGGGCGAGGATAGCAATCCCGTAAGCTCTGGTCATTGATTGAAGTTTATGGATTAGCTCCCAACTCGGGTCGCGGGAACTTCGGTGATAATATTAATAATGGCCGACCGCGATAGCGCCTTCAAGAAAAACGAGGCCCGGGGAGGTGAAAATTGGATTGTCCACGGGTCATGTTTTTCCGACCCCACAGTCAATTAGCAAGCGCACTGATCTCCGCTCCCCCATCCCCATATCCAGATTAGGTCTACGTCTGAGTTCAGTAGCTAGTGGGGGTGGGAATGCGCTGGCGAACGCCACTGCCAGTGGCGATATCAGAGATTCAAACTGCTGAGTAATTCTCATGTCAATAATCAATAACGATGATGAAACTCGACTCGAATACGGATGAAAAATCGACCAATGGTAGAGGTGCGCTCACCGTTCGTTCTTACTGAACTCACTCGTCCCCTTGTGTCCTACGGGTTATGATTGGTTGACGACGGTTAATAAGCTAGAACTGGCCATTCCAGTCTCCCTTGTCTTCGTCGGCAATAACATTCTGAAAAATCAATCATCGCATCAAATTTCACCAACCTCTTCCCCCCTCCCTGAACGATTAAAGACCTCACTGTTGTACCTCAGCAGTAAAACTAAACTGAGACGTTTGTGCACAGTGCTTAAAACACCCTCGTCGGTGAAAGCCTACTGGTTTCTAATAGTGCCCGGACTTGCAATCATGAGTCAGCGTACCTTAATTACCAGCTCCCGCGCTCAAAGCTGGGGGTCGTACTTGATGCGGTGCTGGTTTGCAAGGCCGCTTCCGAGTAGTTAGTAGACAAAATCCGACATGGGTGATGCAATCACGCCAAGTGGTAACAGAGCAATAACATTTAGAGGACACTCTACCCTATCCAAGACCAATACCGTATGCCTGGGGTTGGTTGCAAAGGGTTTCATCTACGAGCAGGATGTTGATAGGCTGACAGAGTGGCCCTCAGTCGAGACTTAAACATCTGTTATCTTAAACCTAGTCTTGTTATCGTCCCGAGCAGTTGTCTTCGCTGGTGCAGCACTGGAGGTGTGACCCAAATTGGAGAATTGGCTGGCAGTTTAAAATACCTGGTCTCATTGTCTTGCGGCTAACTCGTGTTCACATACACGCGTGATCCCACCAACATTCATCCAGTTTGACCAGTATATGTGCGGTCGCAAGTGAGGCCCAAAATATTGTGTATTAAACTATTTTTCAACGTTTAATGGGGCTTGACAGAATACGGTTGTGGTCTTAGGGCAGTGTGCGATCCCAGCGTCTGGCACAATGGCCCTGCTCGGGGCGCCTGCTGCGGTGTTGCGCCCGTCACACGTACCTGCACGCATGTAGCTGTGACAGTCTGGTTCTCGGCCAATCACAGTTATACAAATCGACCAATAAAATTCAAGGCCGCTATCCTAAGACACTGAAACGACGTCCCCACTCACGCTCGGAACACTGCTCTCGCGCCACCGGCCGTGAGCTTTCGTCCGCCTGCAAGCGTCTCCCACATTTCATTCAATACAATGCTCTCTCTGCTGACGTCCAATTTACCATCCTGTTTGGGGTCGTTCGTGGAATTTTTCGCTGCTTAGGTCTTTCTATGACTTAGACTGCAGCGACAGTTTTGCTTTCAACACACTGTGACCGGTCACACCCTCGGTTTACAGGGAGCTACGATCTTAGGCTGGGGCAAACCAAAAGCAGAGCGGATAACGCTTGAGGCGTGGCACTCAGATCCCAAATCCATGGAGAGGCACCTGGACCTTCCTGCGGCTTACAAAGTCCTGCGTAATTACAGTTGGTAGGCTAACACATGAATTGTCAACCGAAATTCCGAAATGCGTTTTCGTTTCGAAAAGATTAATTAAGTAGGGTTGTAAAGCCAGTCATCATGCAGCATAATTCTATAATACTTCAGTTATCCCAGGGCGCCGGCTTTCGAATAAAAAACTTCTTTCCGACTGCCATACTCCGTAAAAAATACTACTTAAGTAGTATGACTTTTTCTAATTGATTTTCGATGCCCCTAAAAGTTCAATTATATTTCATGGAAAAAAAGCATAAAAATATTCATTATTTTGCTCATTCGGTAGCAAATTGCGTCTCCTTTCAATTTTATACTCGAAGGAAGTGCAGAATCTGATTTTTAAAAAGTTTCCAATTGTGAGATTTTTTAATACCGTGAAATGGCTCTTCATAAAACGTCATGTCTCTGCATTTACCAATGTGGCTTGTAAAATCAACGATATGGCCCGAATGTTATGAACCCCATATGGTCTCCTCTTAATACCGTAGAGAAATGTGTGGTTTTTCGTACGCGGAAAATATATGGCATGTAGATTGGAAGCTCTGGATGCAAGTGTGATGACAGGTCGTGTACAAAATTATTCAAGATTTGGAAAAGTTATATAAAAACAAATTTAACCCTTCGTTCGGGCATAGAATTGAAAGGAGACGTAATTTTCTACCAAATGAGTAGGAGAATGAATATTTTCACACATGTTTTCCATGAAATATGATTGAATCTTAAAGTGCGCCGGAAATCAATGAGAAACATGATGCTACATAAGTAGTCATTTTACACGGAGTATAGTTTTTGCATGCAGCCGGAAGGAAGTTTGTTCGAAAGCCGGCATCCTGAGGTAACTGAATTATTATAGAATTATGATGCCTGCTGACAAGTTTTACAACCCTACTTAATTAATCTTTTCGAAACGAAAACGCATTTAGAAATTTCGGTTGACATTTCATGAGTTAGCCCACCTATAGTACTCACAACTCACGCAGCTAAAAAGCCCTCAAAAACATCCCCAGGAAGACCGGGGCGGTGAGAGGCTGGCTAGTCCGGCACGACACTTCTATTTCCGTTTGACTAGGTTCATTCACGCTCTGACAGTGGTGGGCCGGCCACGTTCTCCGAAACGTCAGCATTCCTATTAACCTTCTACGGTGGGTTCTCCCTATTTCTAAAACTGATTCGCTCTTCTACGTTCCCATACACATTTGTCTATGTCATTACCGACAAAGACAAGGGAGATTGGAATGGCCATTTCTGGCTTATCGGCCGTGGTCAGCCAGTCATACCCAACCCTGAAGTGTGGAACACCCGACGCTCGAACTCGTGACCTGTTATTTAGAAGTCCATGCCGCTAACCACTGTGCCACGAGCCCGTTGCCCTGTCGGTTTCGATCGGGAATATACAATGGTATTGGGTGCTCACCGATCTTTCTACCGGAATTCACTCGTTCCGTTCTAGTCTCCCTTGTCTTTGTCGGTAAGAACATACTGTCTATATCATGCGCTGCTGAGCGGCCGCTGGTCGGGCTCGAGAGAGAGAGAGGGCCTAAAAGGCACAACGGAACGAGTAAGCTCCGTATGACCGATCGGTGAGCGCCCCCTACCATATTTATCTATCCCATTTTTCTTTAACAGAACACCTGGGAAGGCTCTGCACGCTTTCAAATTTACCGCGTTGAGACTGCTGCTGTGGACTGAACTCAGCTTCCTAAGCCGCCAAGTTCCGTCGGCTTTTGGGCTGGTTCGTAAGACCGTCGAGGTTCGAACAGTTATCCCCTTAACTCACGCAGTCCAACAGTTTAACCAATCATCAGCCTCGTGAGCCCTCCCCGACACGTCATTGCATGCAGCCGCCTCCCGCAGCAAGTGGGGCATCTGTTTATTTCGGTTGTTGCATTGATCACAGCATATGAGGACCAAGTAGGTCAGCCTAGACCTTTTAAGTCATCTCTGGACGGCAAATTGTGTTCGCACATGTGGGGCCCTCACACAAGGAAAGACCAGTTATTACCTACTCAGTCGGAAGAATAAGCAGTTAGCTTACTGTATCAGAATCAGTGGATTCCATACGTTGCAATAGGCTGGGCGGGTAACTTGACCCAAGTGGGATTAAAGTCACTGCGCCCGATGGGGTTTCGCAGCTCAGGTGGCTAGAGCATTGGCTCTACTAAAGCCACGCCGTCGCGGTCGTGGGTTCGGATCCCGCCGAGTTTTTCACAATTCGATCAAATTTATTATTCAAACCTGCCAAACTCCAGTTAAAATCCTACTTAAACATCCGATCACGAACGCCCTAGACTGAGCTACAATCACGTAGTTGGCCACCTTTGCAGCTTCCCTGTGTTCCTCTGTTCTGCATCTGTATGTCGTGCCGTTGGGTCAACGTTCCCACTTTACTATTATGCGGTTCGCCAACGTCATTCGTTCTTGGGTTTCTACTAGCTATTTCGCTGCCTTGACTTTTAACTTGGAGCCTCATTGTGTAGGCGCTACATTTAGCTTCCCTTGGATTTTGTATTAAATTTCTCCGGTAGTCAATTTCCCGGGCCGCTTTCAAGGTCATGCGCGGATC